CTAGTGTAGAATTGTTCTGTTAGATCAAAAGTTTGTCTTTTAAAATAAAAGTTGATCTCTATTTTCCTTTTGGATGAGGTAGGAAGATCAGGTTTAACTAGTGATTTGTAGTGTTCCTTGGGTTCATTAATTAGTATTAGGAAGTATTAGTATTTAATTAGGAAGTGATGTATTCAGATATATGTGTTTATGAATGTTTTTGTCATGAACTTGTGTCCTACAAGGGGAACAGTTATCTCATGCTGGTTGTTTATTTTTGTCTATTTTTGCTTGTTCTTGTTTATTTCTGCTTACTTTTATGTTCATGTTTGTTCATTTGTTTGATCGTTATGAATGGGAAGTTATGTGTTATCTCATACAGGTGATTTGTTCACCATAGTTAATTATTACTGACTCTGCAAAGGTGTGAGACGTTAGAGACTTGACTGACTGAGTTGTTTAAGTTGGGTTTCAATAGGGTATGTAAGGAAGACTCCGTTAAGGCTAAAGGTTCATTGAGGAGTTGTTAGTTCTGTAATACGGAAATTATTCTGACTTAATTTTAGCTGTAGGAAGAGGTCAGGCCAACATTGTCATATTTTGATTTTACCTATTCTGAGTTCCGATGTTCCATGGTTTAAAAACCACGAAAGGGGGGACTGTAGTGGTGAAAAATAAACCAGATTTCAGAGGAAATATGTAATGGAACAGTATGTAGCTCATATAGACCTTATTTGGTATTAGCTTGTGTAAGGGAGAGCTGAGTGACTATGGGTTTATTAAGTTCATGTGAGGTGGACAATGGGCTCATGTAAGTGGTTATATAATTAATACTTAGAATCCTAGTTAAAGCCCAAGTATGGTCAGAGATGTTCCTTGGTGAGGGCCTTTGCCAGAACATTGGGAGTCAACCTTCCTGTCTTCCCGGAATGGAGTGAGAAGGGGGGCCCTGGTAGACGTCAAGACTGACAAAAGTCCAGCTGTGGTGAAGTAGCTAGTGGCTAAGCTGATAAAGAGAAGTGAGCCTGAGGGAGCCAGGGATAGAGAGGAGAAAGGACCATGCTGCAGTAAACAGTAGACGAGGTACCCTTTTAGGGACCCAGCCGGCTGGGGAGAAGACGACTGACTGGGGCTGACTGACTCAGGACTGATAACAAAGGACCTGACCTGACTGACTGGTGCTCCGACAATCTTTAGGCTTTATCTATTTCATTGCAGGAGGAGAGTCTCTGTTCTCTGTTCCCTAACTACAAGAATATCTGTTTAAATACTACTCTACTGAGACTAATTGTAATATTAAATGATCCTTTAAATTGTAATGGTTTGTCTGAATTAATTTAGTTGGTATCTCACTCTTGCCACGACACTGGCTTCCTTTGTCAACTTGTCCTGTTCTCTTTCTCATGTTTTCTTTCAATTTTAGCATTTGTTTGTATTAATGTTTGTCTCACAAATTTTTCACTTCTTGTTTACTATAGTACCTAGCAAGATACCAACATGCCCCACAATGCAACGTGCATTCTCAAACCCTATTCTCACAGCTACAGTACAGTGATCTCCTCAGTGCATTTCAGTATGGTTCATAAGCTTTTAATTTCACCATACCATTTCATATTGCCTAACAATAATAATGAGAATAAGGTAGCAATATTAAAGTGTAAAAATACTCTGTTACAAGTAAAAGTCCTGCATTCAAAATGTTACTCAGGTAAAAGTGCAAAAGTATTAGCAACAAAAAATACCAAAAAATAAAAGTAGTCATGCAGAATGGCACATTTCACATTAAAGTATATTATATTATCAAATTTTAATTATTGATGCATCACTACATCAGATTCAAGCAATCAGGCAGTAACATAAAAACGTGGTGATAATAAGGTGGGAGAATATAATGATAAATAATTTCATTTTGAAATTCTCCCCGCTGGACAGGCACTAACAACACTGTATACCAAATAACCGGACACAAAAACAGTTTCTTTCCCCATGCCAACACTCTTATGAACAGTTAATCCATGTCTGTATAACAGGACAACAGTCCCCAGTGCAATATCCTGTAAAGCCCCAAAAGCTCCAAACAGCCATACCTTTGTACAGCATCTGAAGTAAACAAAGATCCATGCGAGTTCTGTGCTTTGTTTTTCTGTCCACTAAGTTCTCATGCTTTCATGGAGATCTTGCACATGTGCAGACGGGTCTTGCTACTTTAGACACTTATCGTCTTTTGGAGCAACACTTTTAACAAACATGCAGGTCTGATGTTTCACAATGAAGAAATGTGTCGCCCCGTGAAGCAGTATTTTTAATTGTTTTTGAACAACATGGCATGTTTGATTAAGTTCATCCAGGTTGGAGACTGACAGACATTAACCATGAGTGAAGGCAGTTCTCTGTTGGTTGTAGTCTCTGTATGGGATTTAGTGAAAATACTATACATACATACATACATACATAC